ACTTGTTAATGTACGCATTCAAACACTTTTTCTTTTACCAGCTGTATTCACCTTGCAGGTTGAAACTATGTGGCTTTTATCCTGGATAAAGTGTTTAAATCATGGATGTTTAAAGTTTAACTTCTTCATATGTCTAATATTATAGTTGACTTTTCATTCAGGAAGTATGACGCTGCGCTGTCAGTACGCTTCTCCATGTTTGTGATTGGTTGAATGCTCCAGATACCACCCCTTTCATGTGAACGCGCACCTAACTAGATAGGACACGGCTGGCTTGAGCAATCCACTTGATAACCCGCGTCGTAGGACCGTTTAGCGAGAGCGCGTATGTTTTGGATTAGGCCAACCGGCTAACTCAAACATATCCAGGTTAGGTTGAACCAGCTTCGTAGTACAGGCCTCTGATCTCAAATANGCTTCAGTAGAAGCTGCTGGGAGTCCCAGCAGCTTCTACTGAAGCCAGTCCCCAACTCCGGGGACTTCCGGCCGGGGATTTTGGGTGGCAGTATACGCCCTGAAGTTGTTTGCGGCCTGCCAGTAAACCCAAAGCAGAAGAAGAAGAAGTGACGTCAGCGGCTTCATTTGCCTAATCCTCCCCCAGGAACTAATTTCCGGTGTGAACGCGATCTGTACTTAGTTCATCAGAACTAAAGAGTTCTGATGAACCTTTGTGGGAAAAGTACTTGGTGTGAACGCGCCTAATAGGGCCCCCGTTAAACCAATCATCTTTAAGGTAAAAAAAAAAGCAGTTTAGTGAAGTTCATTGTCTTTAGTAATGATTACAATCACTAAAACTTTATTAATGATAAAACAATTCTCATCTCTTCCTTATTTCTCTGGCGTTGAATTCATGGCCTTTGTCACGGAAGAGTTTAAAAGCAGCACGAATGGGTGAGTTACTTTATAATCGGTCTCAATTTCTATCAGTGATACTTCAACTTTATTTAACTTGTTTAAATCCTATGGGAAAATAAAATAAAAAGACACACCTACACACACGCCAATCAGCCCCTTAGATACACAATTAAAACCTTGAACAACACGGCTCCCATCTGCTGGATGGGCTGTCAGAAGCACACACACATACACATGAAAAACACACACACCTTTCTCAAGAAATCAGTAGCACACTCCACATCACATAGACACACACGTGGACTAGTTTTACCTCGTGTTATTCTCTACTATTAGATGTGAAAGAGACAGAAGGACGGACCTGAGTGTGCGATGAGGAAGTGAGAGATAGAGGGATACAACAGATGTCCACACACACACACAGAAACACACATGCGGTGGAAGATTTATCTATTCCTGCTTTACCCATGAATGCAGAGAGGCACGCATGTCCTCCCACACACACATAAGCAACCACATACATTCAGATGTACAAACACACACATGCCTGATTAATCACAGAAGAAAAACATGCACATACATGTCCGTCTCTTTCGACACACACTCCCTCACACACAGTCTCTCACCCCTCTAGCTTTACCCTTCGGCGACCATCTGGACACTGTTCTGTTAGTCGCTACAATGCGAGCCTTGTTGTGTGATAAAGTGTTGCTTTCTGTTGTTTTTTTTTAAATTTTATTCAGCGCTAGCCTTGATGGTGAAGAGAAAACATTTTTTTTGCAACTTGAAATATTTTCCGTTAACAAGAACACCACAATCTGTCGTACAAACAAACCGTAGGAGTAGCTATTGTGCATTTCTTGTATATCATTAGCTCTACAATGGTGCGTTGGTGAGAAGTTGAGGCGCTATTCAATCTATTAGGTGTCATACAAAACACACCGAGAGCAAATTGAGTCCACACTCTAGGTAAACAAGTAAACATAGAAGTGAAACATTTCTGTTCTGATGAGTTTTGGTGTTGGATGCCTTGAGGGGAAACAACAGGAATTGTGTAATACAAGCATGAAAACATCAATTACACACTCAAAATATATTTGTTTGGCTACCGCACAGAGTAGATTATGAAATGTGATTAGTAATGTTTTATGACTAACTGATGCCTGAGTTTGTTTTGGAAAGGGTAAAAGAAGTCTTTGAGAACCACTCTTACTAGAACCCTATATACACCAAATCATAGTGTTGAGGAATCAAAAGATTGACAGGCCAGAAATGCCAAGAGGATATTCTGTATTTCAGAGTGTTTTTTTCTATAGATTCCTGATTAATTGAACATAGTAGGATGGTCAGAGTGGCAGCCATTTTTAATCGTACCATTGAAGAGAACAGTGACTGTTGTAGAGAACACATTCTCTTTCAATGCAGAGTTCTTGTAGGGCTGCTCAATTAATCGTATTTTAATCGCAATTACGATTTTGGCTTGCAACGATTATGAAAACAACATAATCTAATTTTTTTTTTTTAGTACATTTTTTTTTATTGGTTTTTCTGTTGACTTATATTTAAAGTTCAGGGTAATCAACTGTCAAAACATACTGCTCAAATGTTCTTTTTCAATAAATGGATGTTTTCAAAGTAAATGAAAGTTTTTAATAATCGTGATATCAATTATCGACCCAAATAATCGAGATTATGATTTTTGCCATAATCGAGCAGCCCTACAGTAGTTCTTGGATAATTTTATTTTGAACTATAAAGTACCACAGCAAACAGATACATGTCCATTCCACTCTCAATTAATTTATATGGTTTTACCACACATCAGTCATTTCCTTTAGGTTGGGTTTTAATCATTTTGTCTCCCCTAAATCAAGCCGTGTAAAGTAATGTATTATGTTAAAAAAGAGCCATCTGCACCCATATGGGATAGTAGAAGAACTTACTCAGTATGCATTATTATAAATACTTTAGATACAAAATGTGTTAGTGTGTCCTCCACTTTCTTTTGATGCGAGAAAAATGGACATGTTGAGTGAAAGTTAATCAAAGGTATGATCATAAAAAGAGACTGATAATAAAAATGCTGTTATTGTTTGTGATTCATTAAACGCTGCCCTGATTTGGGAATTACCACACTGTTGGTTCAGACTCTTTAAACAATGTGTTTAGGCTTTTAATTGTTCTGTTTGAGGCCTATTACCGTAGTTGAATAAAAAGCACAGAGGGCTGCAGCACACGGCTGTCCATTAGGAGTGGAGAAATTGTGAGGTTTCTCATCATCCCTGAAAAGTTTATTGATTTATTGTATGAAGTTTCTACATAGCATTCATTAAGGGTCAGACATAGAAGAAGCAAAATTACATTATTGAATTACTACACATCCACTTTGTTCCAGTGATTGGAGACAGTGTGTGACGGTGCAATTCTCACATCTTTACAACGACTTTTCCCCACGTGAGGAATGGTCAGAGGAGTTCATTTTCCTGAATGTATTCCTTATACAAATTGCTCTGTGGTCAAGTTTGCTAGCAAAATCAAACCATGTTCTATTCCTCTACTGAATTACTCTGAACCACTATTAGGGGGAGGCAGCAGAAAGGCCCACAGATGGGGGAACAAAACAAGTTTAACGGATTTTTACAGTCCAATAGTGCGCAAATGGACTCGGCCTGAACTTTCCTGCTCCACTCAATAAAATTAATTAAGACTGGGAGCAATAGGAAGAGCAGACAGAAGGGCGAGATATATAGACAGAGAGAGAGAGAGAGAGAGAGAGAGAGAGAGAGAGAGAGAGTTGTTGTGTTTTAATAATTCCTGGTGGTCATTCGTACAGGATCAATATCAACCCTCCAAGACACGAGCAGCCGATCAGCACTGTAGGAGAGCAATAGATCAGGCTGATTAATCAATAACCATTTAGCTGGGTGGAGAGGGAAACAACTACAGAACAATGAACTATCAAATACACATTAATACCGCTGTCAGCCTGTCTCCCTGCTCCTCAGAGTTGTATCTGTATATTTATCGCCTGTCTCTCTCTCTGGTTATCTGTCTTTCTGCCTGTCTCTCTGCTTGAGCCACAGTTTTCGTCAACGGCACAGCTTTTGAATGAAGATCTTCCCAAACAAGCGCCACCTGCACGTCTGTATTTGCTGCCATCTCTTCCTCTCTTGTTCAGTTCCTTTTTTACAGGTATAGTTTTTTTTCTATTCTCACTCTTTAACACAACTGGCAGTCAGTGGGCCGCTCCGACATCACACCTCCTACAAGCACAGCTGCTTGCCGACGCAGAGTCACGCACGCACGCACGCACGCACACGCACACGCACACGCACACGCACACGCACACGCACACGCACACGCACACACACACACACACACACACACACACACACACACACACTCCAGGTGGTGCATCTACTCAGTGTTTTAGTAAAAGGATTAAAGGTATCATTTAGCTAAAATTGAGTTTCAGAGAGGAAATACTACTGTTAAGTTTAACACCCCTGCTGAGACACTAACGCTGCACATTGGCTGGTTTTTAAATGATTTAGTTTTTTGAAAAGTAGATAATGTTTTACCGCTTGAAGTCCATATGAGTTTATTTGTTGCAATCTGACCACAGCAACTACAACTATCACAATAAACTTGTCAATTTCCATGTTTCTTTTTTAAAAACAATTGTCAGGTTTTCGTGGGGTGGCAGTTAGTACAATATGTTATATACTGCACTATATGTATGCCTTAAGAGCTCATTTCCAGGTTCATATTTGTATGTTGTGCCTTTGCAGACCATCTACATGCACAAATACCTTTATAACACACTACAAGAAAAGGAAAACCCTCAAAACCTTACTTGGGTTCTTTAAATAATTGTTGTATTACTTTTAAAGACTGATTCACATATCAGTTATTCTGGTAGAAGGATTACTGCAACCAATTTTCACACTTTTAAATATATCATCTTATGTTGTTTATAATCTTTTATGCATTTTATTTTATTAAAGTTTTTGGCTATTGGTAATGCCCGTTCACATGTGAGATTAATAAAGTATATCTAATAGAATAATCCAATCTAATCTAATCAAGTTTAATCACATTCTTTCGTCTCTTTTGTCTAGTTTTGAAGCTTGTTTTGCGTCAGTTTACTCACGTTGGCAGTTTTTCGCTGTGATCGCGTCTCCGTGGTAACCGTCAGCGCAACTGTCGCAAGACGAGCCGCCGTAACCTTGACGACAGAGCAGACACTGGCCCGTGATCGGATCGCAGCTGCCGGGTATGGACAGGTCCAGGTTGTCATGGCAATCGCAGGGCTGACAGGATCCCCCGGGCTCAGAGGGCCGGCCGAAGAATCCGTTGGAACATCTGGAGGCAGCGGAGAGACAAAGTGAGGTCATGATGTTTTAAACTCAGTGTACTGTAAACATCATCTGCTGCGTGGGAAACAGTGGTCAACAGATCATAAAATAGATGGTGAAATGTGTTATGTTTTAGTTTAATTAGCAATAAGAAAATGCATATCAACACAGGTAGCTACAGTAACTTTGGCAGCATATAATTTTTTTGTAAGATCAATGGGATTCAATTCAATTTAATATATTTACAAACAATTAAAAAATGCAATTCAAAGGACTATCAAGAGAAATAATGGAGTTGTGTCAAATGGGTCACCCGGAGAAACTCTCCAAAGCTTTAGAATAGGGGCCAAGACAGTTAATAAAGTATTTACAATATGTTATTAACACATCTAGATTTTGAGAGAGTTCAAGTGTTATACAAGCATAACAAGCTAAAAAATAAACACACAACACTAACCAAATGCACTGAAACTATCCAACCCTAACTACTAAATGGTCAAAACACATTTATTTGATCAGACTTAACATTGTGTTTATAATATCTTACCTATGATAAACCAGACACATTATAAGGGAGACTATAGCATACATTAAAAGCATTTCAAAACCACACTACAGTACATTCAAGTATGTATCTGTTTATCTATCGTTATTATATTTATAAGTAATATCTCTATCAGAATATCCAGTAATGTGATCACATATTGTGTTTCTCATATTGTGTGGCCTTCAAGCCAACATGCAACATGAAGGTCTGTGCATGGTTTCCTTCAAATGTGTTATTTTTCTAAAAACAAACACTTACGCTATCAGAATAATCTGGAAGATATAATCACACACAATTCCACACATAGGGGCTCTAAAGTACCTCAGAACTCTCCACCCTTTCATGCTTTCAAGTTGCAGCAACACGCCGTCATGCTGTTATTTTCTCTTTCAGGATACCATTTTAGGTAGGGATAATACTGCATCAGGTCTGACTGAGTGTGCAGATAGTGCAACAATGTCTCTGAAAATACAGATTTCCTCCTCCTTTCATGTAGTTAATAATAATACTCTGCCTCTGTGGCTCACCCTGCCTTCTCTCTTTTGTATCTAACAGCTGCAGAACAAACAGCTCTCAGCAGGTAAATATGATCAAATCATTGTTTACCTCAGCTTGTGTGACAAGAACAAAATACTAGATCACTAATTACAGCAGGTCTCATCTCGGAAGAGCTGGCAGCCGATATCCAATCAGAAAATAAAAAAGAAATAAATCTCATCGATCAGAGTCCAGGGGAATCATCAGCATTGTTACCGGTGTCTCTTTGACCAGAGAGAGTGATCGCTAAAGGCTGTTATCATTTATATTTAACACACACCAACATCACACACGTACAGTCACACAGACAGGCATTAAGTCAAAGATTTAACCACAAAAAAGGCTGGAGGGCAACAGAAACCAAACGTATGAAATGAAAGTTACGAAAGAAATAAGCTTTACTAGAGATTAAAATAAAAAAATTATGTCTTCAGGCAAAAAGACCAGAAAAAACTACTCAATGCAAAGTCAATGTGATGCAAGAATGTACATGCCTGTTTATGTGTTATTGGACTATGATTGATTGATTGATTGATTGATTGATTGATTGATTGATTGATTGATTGATTGATACATTTTATTTCGAACAAGTAAAATAAATAATTACAAAACAAATGTTGCAGTGCATAGTCATAAGAGAAATCAAAACAAAAAATGACATTTACAACAACAACAACAACAACAACAACAGCATTAGCAACATAAACAGTGCCACATCTAGTGTTCGAAAAGGAGTGAGAAGAAGTATAATTTATTTAATCTCACCCCCTTGTCCCTAAATGATTTATTTATAATCTATAATCTGTAATAATTATCATTATTATTAATTAATATTGTTATTATTATTATTATTATTATTATTATTATTATTAATCTGCTTTACCTGTTGATTGACATATATACATATACACATATGTAT